GTTAAGAACATATTTGTGTTATCAACATCTTAACGATGTCAGTAGGCCCTAATTTAATTTATAAATTTAACTTGATGCCATAAAAATTCCAATTGCTTCTTTTTTCTAACCAGAATTAAACTGATCCTAATGGGAAATTCATGTGGGAAAATAAACAAGCAAACAAAACAGAAAAATTCTGTAAAAGAGAAATTCAGATAAAAGGAAGGGTAAGCATACCAAATATTAAAACATACTCATGTTATAAAACATGAAGAGACTGGAAGATAAACAAATTAAGTCATAAATCCAGAAATAAACTCAAATACGTATGTGTATGTGTAACTCACACTTCACACCACAATGAAATCTAAATGAATCAAAGATATAAATGTGAAATGAAATAATATCCTAGAAAAAAACATGGAAAAATTCTTTCATTTTTTTCCCATGGGAAAATTCTTTTAGAGCCTGGAAGAAGAAATACCTTTTTAATTATGACTCAAAAATCCAGAAATCATAAAAGAAAAAAAAAAATCACTCCACTATTAAATTCTAACTTTGATGAAAATAATTGTTTAATTTTTAAGAACATCCTTATTTATATTGTTTTATACTACTTCACATTGATCTTCCAATGTCATAATGAACATTTTACACCTTACCTTTGTATGATATTCCATAGCATCCAATTCACCTTGATTGAAAACAACACATCTTTTACGCTTCTAAAGAGTAAATTACAGGAAGAAAATTATGTTGCCATCTATCACAATACTGATATTTTAAAATATATTAGTATTTCTTTTTTATCACATTTTCCTTAGTGTGTATCTGTCTTTAAGAGCTTAACTGACTAGTAAGGTCAAAATCAGTGAAAAGTGTATGGACTAAGGAAATAAGCTTTCCAAATAAAAAAATTGGGGACTTTTTTTTTAAATTACTATTTATTATTATTATTATTATTACAAGCTTAATAAGTGATGTAAGGTCACCTAAGCCTTATCTGCTATTAATAAGAGCTAGTACCAATGATAAAATGCAGCACAGGCATCCATGGAACACAAGAAAACTGTGACACTGTATAAAGTTACTAGTATCATCTATCAGTTGATATATATTGTACAATTCTCAACTTCATTTCTGAGGAGATGAACTATGCATATACTATCGTTAAAAAAAAAAATCCAGTACACTTTCAATAGCTCTTTATGATTGATCTGAGGGCTAGGTACAAATCAAATATACTAACATTGTTCTGTGTCTAACAACTGCATAGAAAGGAACATGTAAAACAGTGCAAAATAAAGCAGGGACTTTATACCTCTTATTGCTGAAACACCAGTGCTTACATGGTAGCATACTCCCAGCAGGCTAACAATAAATGTTTGCTGGCTGAATAAATAAATGGACTGAAGATTAAGCTAATTGTACAATTTGCCTTAGCATATCAGAATTAAGGTAAGTTTTGTCAAGATAACTCATTACATACACCCATCTATATTTTTCCATATTAAAATGAGAAATTTACCCAACATAAGTGAAAACATTAAAAGATGCCCATACTTAGTAAACTGTAAATGCTTGTTATTATTTTTCTGAATTAGTAATAGTATTGATAAATAATCTATATACTATTTTACTGAAATCTCAGACATTATATATTTTCTTTCTTATGCCTGACACACAGCAAATGGTCAATAAGTATTTGTCCAAGGGAAAAGAAAGACAGAAGAAATTATAAGAATATTAAAAGTTCTACTTCAGGAAACTAGAACAATGTAGTAAATTATCCCTATCACTTGCCTTATTCTAATTCTCAACATGCTTTCTTATTTAATATCTTTCTTCATGGATCTCAATTGTAAGATCCATGAGGGTACCAATTATGTTTATCTTGTTTCATCCCTATATGTACAACAGCACACAGAAAGATCTCAAACATTTGTGGGTGAGTAACAAAGTTATTCCTATCTCTAACAAAGAAAATGTTAATATAATCTATCTGAAATGGACTTTGTATAATCACCTCTGAACTCTTCAGAAACATAAAAAGTATTAAAACATAATTATTGATCCTGTATAGCATTCTTGAAACTTCACCAAAAGACTGCACCAGTGTATACACAAATACATAAGCTTTAAGAACATATACAATTTTCTATAGTAGCTTTCTACTTTTATTATTAAAAACTTTATGAAATATCACGCTTCTTGCAAACTTCATTATATGAGCTTATCCCCAATAGACAGTTCTCTAAGAATCTCCCAAAATCCATAAACTGCTTTAGGATTTTGCAGACAAAGCAGCATGTTGTTGAACAAAAACAATTGTAAAAACATGCGATTAATACAAATGAGTAAGCAGAAAGGGTTTTTTGTTATTGTTGTTTAGTTTTGTTTAATTTACAGAGCATTCACTTTTGAGCAAACTTTGCTTACTTTTGAAATATGCATCTGGTCTTCTAAGAATGGTAGAACATTAGGAAAGAGTTAAAAATTACATTGGCTATAACTAAAGCCTTCCTATGCTTTATGGATTGTTTTTTAGACTTAGTAAATTAGAAGATATTGGAATAATAAACTTCTGCATGTTCTGCAGAAAAATAGAAATGTATTAAAACTTTCTACCTTCCCAATAATAGAAATGCGGTTTTCTTCTTTAATACCATCCATTGGATCTTCCTTTTCATTCCTTTGTTGGCATTCTTTGTGAACAACTGGAGTTATATAAGGTTTGGTGACATTAAATAGCTCAGATCGAAAAACATATCTCTGTATGAAGATTTCGCAATTTCCTCTGGCATCATTATCTGGCTTAGTGGTAGAGTCAAAAGCAATAACGGTAGCAGAGGTTCCCAAAGAGATCAAAGAACCCATTTGAAGAAAATCAAAGTGGACAGATGAAGTGGGCTCATTTTTACTGCAACAAGGCTCATGATGTTGGTGAAGTTGATAGTTTATGTTGTTAATGAAAGAAAGATGATCTAGTAACCATCCTGGTGACAGCTGGTGCACCACAGACATTCTCTTCTCTTAAAAAAGAAAGAAAAAAAAAAAACTCTGGAAATGAGAGTCTAGATGTAAAACCCAATTTTCCAGATTAACTTCTTAAATGTCCTGCATTTCAATAAAAATATACTTCACATACACAGGTAGATTTCATGTGCAAGTATATAAACTTAACATATACACAAAAGAGAATCTGACATTCGTGATATGTTAAGGAAAAATGTAATGTTTTAATATAAACTTTTAATTACAGGGTTGATAATTCTAATTTTTCAGCCAATTTAGCAAAAGAGAATGAAAATGTGATCTTATTTCTGGAATCCCAATTGAATCCTCTTATCTTCCTGGGACCTCCACACAACCTCCTGTTCGCTTTTAATCTAGCCACTAGGTCCACATCCTCCAAGTCAGGAAGTCATTCAATTCTTAAAGGTGAGAGTATCCTGTCAAAGCAAAGAATACTACATTACCTATGTGAATTCATCCTTTTAATGACATAAACATAGAGAGGTCACAGAGAGGTCAGCTCCTGTTTTTTCAAAGCACATTTGCCGCAATAAGTCAGCCCATTAACACTGCCATACTTAACCACTCTACCAACGGAGTACTAAAAAACATAAAATGAAAGACTGGTCTAGGCTAAGAACGATGCAATTTTAACAGATTTCAGAAGTACCAAACCCTAACAAAATTGCAAGGTTATTGGTTCTGAGCAGTCCTCCTTCAGCAACTATGTTTTTTCAAAACTTCCTTATCTTTTTACCAAAAAAAAAAAAACAATGGTAAAGTTCTGGGTATTGCCTACTAAATCTAGTATAATGGAGAACCTAACAGGGGGGACAGAATAAGTATTTAACAGCACAGCTAGTCATAGCATTTAGAACCAAACTTCTAACTCCATGTAGTGTTAGCAGTATGACCATGGTCAAGTTATTTACTCTTACTACAGAGTCTCAAATTCATCATTGTTTATGACATCTCAGGAGGCAGTTTAGAGAATTAAATGAGATAATCTACATGAAATGCTGTGCAGTGCCTGACACATAGCAACTGTTCAAACAAATGCTATTAGTGATGGTAATCCTGGTATTGGCCCTCCTTTCAGAGTCACCACTTGTGGTGAGGAGGTAATGTAATGGCTAGTGAAAGCAGGAAATTTAGTCAAGAAGACTGAAACTCAGAAAAGGTGACGTGCCCAAAATTACAATTGTAGGTAACTGCAAAACTGCTCCAAGAATCAGTATCAGGACTTTGGCTCAAAGCTTTTCTCCCACCCCCACCACTCTCCAGGTACTGGGCAGTACATGTCTTTGAGTTCAAACTCAGGGAAGCAGGGAAGTCCTTTTTTAGCAAAGTAAACTGTGCTTAAACTCTCTTTCTCTCTCTCTCTCTCTCTCTCCCCCTCTCTCTCCCTTTCCTACCTCTCCCTTTCACACCCGAACCTCCACCCCTCACCCCCTTGGGTTCCTCGTAGCTTCACTCGGTGACCACCACTAGAGGACCATGAAACCCTAGCGGCAGCCACACCGGGATCCTCGAAGCCAGGTACACCCACACTCAGCAGTCACTATCTCCTACCTCACCGTTTCCCCTTTCAGAAAAACTGCACGACGTCTCCCAGACTTGCATTATGAAAGAAACAACCCTCTACACCGTGGTCATGAAAGACGCCACTTTCATGGCAAAGAAAATTTCTTTTTCTACGACCCAACGGGCGCGGCCATGTTGCTGTACGGAAAAGGTGTTTCCAGGGCGATTTGGAGAGCTCTGTCAGCTACTCAGAGACGTACAGCGCCAGTCTCTTCAGCGTTAACTTTAGGAAAACCGACCAGACTTTGTAGGAGACGCTCGCACTTACCAGACATGCCAGTGTGCTGAGTGAGACGACAGGACGCCAGCATTACGCAGAATTCCCGCGACGGGGAGCGGCGCGTAAGAGTTGCGCACGCGTTCGACGTACGTGATGACGCAGACGCCAGCGGAGATTTTAAAATTCGAACTGCGCCGGCGGGTGCAGGGAGGAGTTGGGTGTTTTGGCGGGTGCTGTCCTGCCCGGTGAGTAGTTGCACGGGTTCCAGAAATTCGGTCCCTGGGTTGTGTCACGAAACTGGAAGAAAGGTAACTAATGACTTTGAGTTAATTTTGTGCCGGTAGAACTGTTCTCAAGGGAGAAAGCGATGGCGCCAACACCTTAGATTTAGCGGCCCTGACAACGTTTTAGTCTACTATTTTGAGAGGCCTCCGGGCCGAGTCTGTGCGAGGCGCTAGTTTCCCGGAGTACAATAAATTTCTACAGACAGTGACTTCCAAGGGAGAAGAGGAGGACCTAGGGGCACACTGGTGGGGAGCAGAGTCTGGAGGGAGGAGAGGGGAAGAATTGATGGGAGCAGGGAGAGGAGGGACAAGATGAAGAACGGTTTGAGGTGTGGCGTTTGAGATACTAGTGGGCGTGTAGGAAAGTCTTAATCTTAAATTACATTTTAAGTGGAGATTTGGAGTGCACGTATAGGTGAATGGGAAAGTTGAATGGATAGCAGAAATGTATAAAGTAAAAGAAATAGGTGGCCATACCATGTAGAAAGAGTGTAATCAGTTTAAAAGACAAAGGAGAACCCAGAGAAGTGACAGGATAACCACAAATGTCCACTTCGCTGGAAACCAAGACAGAACCTGAGAGATCTAGGTGTATAGTGTCTAATGCCACAAAGATGAGATAGGATCAAAAGATTTGTCAGTCATGAGTATTCTAGGAGGCAACTGTTTCAGTAGGTATGAAGGAAATGAAATGTTAATTTTGAGACATAAACTGTAGACCATTTTGTGGACCAGATAACTGATCCTTGTTGGAAGGGAGATTGAAGTAAAAGGGGCACTAATTTAATATAAATGGGAAACAGTGGGTTAAGGACAGAGCAAGAGGGATGGATGTTAGGAAAAGAAAACAGAATAGCTGTATTCTCTAAGACCAAAGTAAAGAAAACATCTTGAGGTAGTTCTTGTCAGATAACCTCTGACTTTCCCAATGAAAAGGTGCAGCCAACAGCAGTAAGGTGATCAGGGTTAGGTTTCAGGGCTTTAACTACTGTAGATATGTGAAGGCAGAAATTATACCTTATTTATCATTGTGTCATTTCAATTTCCTTGCACACTCAGGTGTACATGGTAGGCAGTTAGTCAATATTCGTGTGTGTTGAATATTTTTAAATGAAGTTAAGTACACATTCCCTGCAAATGAGAACTTCACCTTATATGAACAAAAGGGCCCAGGAAAAGATTATCTTGAAGAAACAGTGGAACTTGGCTGTTTTCTCTTTGAGGATGAAGATAACAGTTGGTGCTTAATGTAGCATCTATATCTGGAAAGATGTTTTAATACTGAATTCATGAATGCAGGTAGTAAGCATGAAGCGCAGTTCAGTTTCCACCGGTGGTGCTGGCCGCCTCTCCATGCAGGATTTAAGGTCTCAGGATTTCAATAAACAAGGCCTCCATACCCCTCAAACGTAAGTACCTCATGCGTTACCATTTTGGACAAAGAAATCTGTAAAGATGATTAACACAAAAATATACTATGAGTGATGTTCTTATGAATATTGTTTGTTCACAGTGGTACCTAATTTGGGTTAATGAAGGCTAAAAATTGGCATGTTATTAGTTGTGTTTTATCTCATTTGTTCCTTAAATTTCCAAAGCTACATATTTTGCCAACAACCCCTGAAAAGGATTGTTAATTCCCTTTCAGCACTCTTTCTTATTTTCCTCCTTTATCCTAGACCTGCTTATTTGAGCAGGCTTATTGCTAGAACTTTGAATTTACTGAAGTATATCCAATTGGCAAAATTGTCGGTTATTATTTGCTCAATGATAAGCTGCAGTTTAGAAGAACCTACAGAACCACTTCTCCAAACTGTTTTCTCAATATTCACTGGAAAAGGGTATATAATTATACTATCATAAACTAGTTTTTCTCTGTGAGTTTGTTCTAATTAAGAGAAGGCTGTTTGTAAGCCACTGAGGGCTATATCAATCCTCTGATACCAAGGTACGAGTTACTTGCTAACTGTACTTAAATTACTTAGGTTTACATTGTATAAGCCTCAGCTACTTTTAGAAATTTGAATTATTTGTGTCTTTAACTTCTGAAATCAGAAATTTTTTGTATTGTTACACATTACATGCACTAAAAGATTTATGTCTTGAATTATATTGAAAACTAAAAGGCTGACATTGGCAATGTTTTAGGTTTGTTATTTACATAATGTATGTTCTTAGGTGTAGCTGCATTCTAATAGAGTAGGCCTTAAAAGAAAATTGTTAAATGTAGCTATCATCCTATGATTGAAGATACCTATTTTTAAATTTTTTTCCTTTAAGGTTATCCATAAATGTACATACGTTAAAATAATTGAAATGAGAATGTAGATATGGTTTTTTTCTGCTTTCTTAACATTTTAGCATTATTACTCGTGCATGGTGTTAGCCTATCCCATTGTAACAGCTGTGATTGCTACTAAAAATTTTCATGATTCTGAATTATTTTTATAGGTAATGGGAAAGAGGTGCTAGTTCCAACATATTTCCAAAAATTTCTTAAACTAATATTTTTTTATATTTATTTTTTAAAGTTTGTTCTTTTCATTTTGTTAAAGCAAAGAGAAACCAGCCTTTGGAAAGTTGAATATAAACAAACCCACATCTGAAAGAAAAGCCTCTGTGTTTGGTAAAAGGTAATGATATTTTTTATTAGTTTTAATGAAGGGATTCTTAAAAAAATAGGATGGCATGATCCCTTACAAAAGAAAGTTAAAAGCTAGCTTTCTTCCGTTTTAAATGGTGAAATGGTTATATCTGTTTTAGATAGTGCTAAGAGATATATCAGCACATTCAGACCACTATTTCATGTTGTAAGTGAAGAGTTGATTGAAAATTCTATACCTAGCTTTCAGATAATATGGAATCATAGCATTTTAAAATTCGGAGGAACCATCATCTAGTTCAACAGTTTAGTCCCAGGCTTTTTTATACTCTTAAATATTAAGATTCCAAAGAGCTTTCATTTTGTGGGCTGTATTTATGGATATTAACCATATTAGAAATTAAAACTGGAAAGTTTTTAATTATGTATTCATTGAATGTAAAATAATAACCCCTTACGTGTTAACAAAAATAATATGCCTTTAACTTAAAAGAATTTTTTTCCCAAAAACAAGTATTTCAGTAAAAAAAGTGATGTTTTACATTTTTGCAAATCTCTTTAACATCTGGCTAAATAGAAGATAGCTAGCTTCTCATATCAGCTTCCACATTCAATCTGTTAAAATATCATACATCATGTAGACAGCCTCTGAAAAACTCCAATGTACACTCATGAGAAAATGAGAATGAAAGGGGCAAATAACATCTTAGTTTATCAGTATGAAAATAGCTTTGTCTTCTCAGATCCCCAAGATCACACTTTGAGAACCACTGTCTAACATAGATCAGTGGTTGCCTGTGCTGAAGGTGGGGCAAGGATTGACTGTTAAAGAGTAAAAAACTTTTGCGATGATGAAAATGTTCAGTATCTTTATGTCTTCATTGTGGCAGAGATTGCACAGGTATATACGTTGTCAAACCTCATCATACTGTACATTTTAAACAGGTACATTTTACTCTAAGCAAATTACACCTCAATAAAATTTATTTTTTAAGGAATGATCAACCCCAAAATTGAAAAAATAATTTGTTCTTTTATCTCACCAAAACAAAATATAACTGTTTTAAGGCAAACCTGTTCAATTGTTTTGAAAATATTTAGAGATGAAATGTTTGTAACCTTATGAAAAGTCTTTGCCTTGAAACCAAATTAAGCTCTTTCTGGTATTCATTCCAGTTGGTGAAAAATCTTAAGGCATTTTTGTAATGTAACTCTTCTCAGTGGTGAACTTCAGAGATAATGATGATAATTACTATAAAATCTAACATTTGCTGAGCATTTTTATAAGCCAGACGTTGTTATAAGTGCTTTGTCTGTATTAACTCATTTAATTAATCCTCACAACTGCCCTATGAATAGATATTATTATTGTATCCATTTTATAGAAAAGGAATTGAAGCACAGAGAGGTTAAGTAATTTTAAGACAGAATTTGAAACCACAGACTCTGATACTGGACCCTGTGCTCTTAAGCTATAAATTGAATGATGCAGTATTTTGATTGGTTAGGGAAATCTCTTATAATTTAAAAAGATATCTAACAGTGCAGTTCTGTGTAGAATAAAGCTGAGTCTATACATGTATTCCTTTTGGGTAAAAAATAAATAAATAAAGATTAAGTAATAGCAGTATGTAGAAAAGTGTTTCTCAAATTAGCAAATTCTAAAACAGCCAATCTGGGCTGTGGAGTGAGAGGGCCCAAGCTAAAGAACTTTTAGAGCGTTTGGCAGGAGAGAAGTTGAAAGCAGTAAGCAAACTTGCAGGGACAAATAGAGCTCTGATGAACAGAGTTCAGATACTACAGCAGTGTTCATTGCAACTTAGTTTTGTGGCATCTGTTCAATAAGGAAAATTGTTATTCTAAGGATATTTAATAAACTGCAGTTGGTAGCTAAATCAGGCCACAAAGTTAGGCAAAAGAAACCAGTATAAAAATACAAACAAATTAAGTTTTGTTTTGCAGAGGAAGGGCTTAGAATGGAACACATATGTTATATCCATTAATGACTAAAAAGTTGCACCATGTAAATTTATGGTAAATAACAATTAAATACATAGGAGCACCTGGGTGGCTCAGTCGTTAAGCATCTGCCTTCGGCTCAGGTCATGATCCCAGGGTCCTGGGATCAAGCCCCACATCGGGCTCCCTGCTCGGTGGGAAGCCTGCTTCTCCCTTTCCCACTCCCCCTGCTTGTGTTCCCTCTCTCGTTGTCTCTCTCTCTCTCTGTCAATAAATAAATCTTAAAAAAAAAAAATCAGATACATAATTTTGCATGACACAAAAATGTTCAAGAGAAAAAGCATACACTACCCATTTTAACATCTCAAAAACAATTTTCCCGCAGGAAATGATGGTAAATGAAAGGGTTAGGAGTGGAGGAGCAATCGTGGAAGCCTAAAAAGGATGGCGAAAGGACTTGGGTTACTGAATAGACTTGGAGAATGGTTGTACAGAAGATCTAGTGGATTCAAAATACACATTCTTAGGTGATAGTGTATGTATTAGGAATGCAACGCACCACAGTGCATTTTTCTTCCTACCTCATTTTATAGTTATCATTATTTGCTCTTTTTCTCTGCTTTGAATAAGAGAAAAGAATTGAACTTTAATGTTTGTTGCTGCTAGTAAAATATAAAATCACCTTGAAATAATTTAGACTTGACCACAGACTGAAATAGTTTTGACTGACTGTTTCTATTTTCAGAACTAGTGGACCTGGATCCCGGAATAGTCAATTTGGTATATTTTCCAGTTCTGAAAAAATCAAGGACCCACGACCACTTAATGACAAAGCATTCATTCAGCAGTGTATTCGACAACTCTGTGAGGTATTTTATATTCTCTTAAGTGTTTTCCAATAATTTTTCTGTTATAAAATGTTTGATGTTTCATAAAAATTATTGTAGTTTCTTACAGAAAATGGTTATGCATATAGTGTATCCATGAAATCTCTACAAGCTCCTTCTGTTAAAGACTTCCTAAAGATCTTCACTTTTCTTTATGGCTTCCTGTGCCCTTCGTATGAACTTCCTGACACAAAGTTTGAAGAAGAGGTTCCAAGAATCTTTAAAGATCTTGGGTTTGTATGTTATATTTCTTATTAGCCTTAAGAGATTGTTGGAACACAGAAAAGAATCAGACTCAATTGATTTGTAAAGATTCTGAGTGAGAGAAATCATATATTTTAAGATGGTCACTGTGGGCAGTGTATCTTAGGATAAATTTAAAAGGCAAGAAAAACCACTGTTTGGAGGTTATTACTGAACTATAGAAGATAGTTCATAAGGCTTTCCAAATACTGAAGTGATGAGGAATAGCTAGAATGGGCTGGATACCACAGATTTTATAGAAGCAAAAAAGATAGGATTGGAGGCCTGGAGAAAATGGGGTGGGATGAAGTCAAGAATGGCTGTGTAGAGTAAATACAGGGAGGGATGGATTTGAGGATGAAGAGTATACATATGTGGCTTATTTGGAGTACATTGAATTTGAGGGAACAAACAATCTTTTAGGAGAGAAGTCCAACATATTGGTTGTAAATCAAGTTCTGCAGTGTTAGGGATATACGTACAAAGAGAAGAAACCAAAAAATACACAAAATCATTTCAGAGTCAGATGACCAAGGACAAAATCTTAATAAATATCTTACTTCTAAACAAGCCAAGACTGTTGGAGTATATGTGGAATTTTTCTAATGTAACTTCTTGCCTAATTTAGCCTTATTTTCACAAAATTAACATTGTTGGCTTCTATTTTTTTTTTCCTAACTTTTCATAGGTATCCTTTTGCATTATCCAAAAGCTCCATGTATACAGTGGGGGCCCCTCATACATGGCCACATATTGTGGCAGCCTTGGTTTGGCTAATAGACTGCGTCAAGGTATTTGATTTTTCATTTTAAAATGTGTATGTAGGAAAGATTTTTTTTTCCTTGAGATAGTGTTATTTCTCTCTCAGTCTGTCTTTTGCCACTTAAAGCCTACATCCGTTTTCATTTTTCAAAGCACATTTGATTTTAAATTCTTCAGACTATTAACAAATGCTTCTAAAGGTGAGAGGAATTACCACATTGGCAAGGAAATTATTTGTTTTTGTGCGGTTTTAAAGCTTTAAAAAAAAAAAAAAGGAAATTATTTCCCCCATTATATACATAACATTACTTTGGCTTTTTTTCCCTTTTTTAATTAAAATCCATATGCATTGCAAAAAATTTTGGAAAATACAGAAATACACAGAAAATGATATACCCATAATCCCACAACTCAGAGAACAATTTAAACATTTCCTTGGGCTATAGTTTTAAAGGTGCCATTTTTGCTGCACAAATTGTGTGGGTTTTTCTTTTAACTTTTGATATATATATTGACAAATTTTCCTTCAGAAAACTTGCACCAGTTAAAAGCTCCTCAGCAATGTATGAACATATGCATTTTCCCAAAACATCATTGTTTTAAAATCTTTACCATTTGAAAGATGAAAAAATAGCTTGTTTAATATATATATTATTAAAGCAATTGTCTTTTTGTATGGTTTGTCACTGATATTTCTCGTGGGTTTTTTTGTCCTATTTTATGTATATATTATTTTAACCTTTATAAATTAAACTGCTTATGTATTAAGTTTATCAATATTTTAAATGAACAAGTGAAAACTTTTTTTCCTATTTGCAATCTTTTTCTCAACTTGAACATATTTCACACTTATTACAATTGCCTATTTGTGTCTTTTGCCATTTTTCTATTTTCTTATTGATTTGTAGGAGCACCAAAACAGTCAAACTGGGGTAATTAGCTCGTATGGATATGATACAAATATTTTTTTCCTTTTGATTTATGTGCTGTATTTTGACTGTTGAGAAATACAGATCTTTATCTAGTCTAATTCAGTCTCTTCTTCTATAGTTTCTGAGTTCCTGTCCTTAGTGCTGGAATCCCTAAAACTAATACTGTCCTCCTGATATTCTCTTGTCCATCGACAGTCCCTTAACAAAATATAGGCAGGCACTAGGTGGATGGATTTTTGACCCAGAAGACATTTCAGTACTTTCAGCGCCACCATTGTCAAGATAAGAGTAGAAATCCAATACCATTTTACTGAACTTAATATATAACATCTGTGCATTCAATTTGTCTCTCCTCAGCGATATCCATCGACATTGGGTAACTACTTCTCTTTTCCCACCACCAAATACTCCTATTGTCAATAGAACACTTTACCCTTGTTTCACTAAACAACTTATGTCATTCTTTTGTGGTTAGGAGACAGCATTTCCACAGTAATGCAGGAGCTCATGGAGTACCTGCTTTGGCTTCTGTTGGGGAGGGACCTCTTGAGATGCCTCCAAGTCTATTATATAGGTTGAAATTTCCTCTTTGCTATCTTGGTTTGCTTGAGGTGGTAGAACTGAACACTGTAAGAATCAATGAGAGATTGTAGGAATCAATGAGACATCATAGGTTTCTTGTTCTAATTATCTTTCCCACTTAACAGAATCCTAAAAATTTAGCCAGACTTAGGATGGCCTCCTTTAGTCTCTGATGTTAAAAAAAAATTTCTTCCACATTTTTCCCTACTATTTTTATTACTTCTTTGTATTTAAATCATCTTTATTGTTTCCTTCCTTCTGCTAACTTTGGACTTTGGTCTTCTTTTTCTAGTTCCGTGAGGTGTAAATTTAGGTTCTTATTTAGGATCTTTCTGTTTCCTTGATGTATGCATTTATAGCTATAAACTTCCCTCTTTAAACTGCTTTTGCTACATCCTGTAAGTTCAATATGTTGTGTTTCCATTTTCATTTGTCTCAAGATACTTTTTCATTTCCCCTTCAATTTCTGATTTGTTACATTGGTTGTTCATGAGAGTGATGTTTAACTTCCATGTTCCCATGACTTTTCCACTTTTCCTCCTGTTGTTGATTTCTACTTTCATACCATTTTGGTTAGAGAAGATACTGAGTATGATTTCTTCTTGAATCATACTAAGACTTGTTTTATGACTTAACATATGATCTCTCCTAGAAAATTTTCCTTGTAGTCATGAGAAGAATGTATATTTTGCTTTTGTTGGATATGTTCTGTATATGTCTGTTGAGTCCATTTGGTCTGTAGTGTTGTTCAAATTGCTATTTATTTATTCTCTGAATGATCTCCCCATTGTTAAGACTGTGATATTAAAGTCTTCCAACTATTATTGTATTGCTGTTATTTCTTTTAGTTCTATTAGTATTTGCTTTATATATTTAGGTGCTCCCATGTTGGTTGCATAAATAGTTACAAATGTTTTATCTTCTTGATGGATTGACCCTTTTATCATTATATAATGACCTTTGTCATCTCTTTCTACCACTTTTTGTTTTTTGGGGTTTTTTTTTTAAGATTTTATTTATTTATTTATTTGACAGAGAGAGCACAAGCAGGTGAGAGGCAGAGGGAGAGGGAGGAGCAGGCTCCCCGCTGAGCAGGGAGCCCAATGCAGGACTCGATCCCAGGACCCTGGGATCATGACCTGAGCCGAAGTCAGAGGCTTAATGACTGAGCCACCCAGGTGTCCCTCTACCACTTTTCGTTCAAAGTCTGGTATATCTTTTTCATCCCTTCACTCTCAGTCTGTATCTCTAAAACTAATGTGAATCTCTTGTAGGCAGCCGATTTTTAGATCTTGTTTTTGTCCATTCAGTCATTCTATGTCTTTGGTTGGAAAGTTTAATCCATTTACACTTAATTATCCATGGATAAGGACTTACTGCCATTTGTTCATAGTTTTCAGACCATTTTGTAGATCTGTTGTTCTGCTTGGTCCTTATTCTTCTATCTTCTTTTAAAATTTGATGATATTTGGTATCAGCATACTTTGAGTATCATTTTTATGTATCTACTTCATGTTTTTCCCTTGTAGTTATCATAAGGCTTACATAAAATATCTTTAAAACTATAACATTCAGGGTGCCTGGATAGTTCAGTCGGTTAAGCATCCAACTCTTGATCTCCACTCAAGTCTTGATCTCAGGGTCATGAGTTCAAACCCCACATTGGGCTCCATGATGGGTGTAGAGCCTAATTTAAAAAACAAAAACAAAAATAACAGCTATAACATTCTATTTTAAACTGATAGCTTCAATAACATTCATAAATTTTACACTTTCACTTCTCCCTTTTACATTTTAGGTTATTGATGTTACAGTTTACATACTTTTTTATATTGTGTTTCCAATAACAGGTTATTGCAGTTTTGGTTCTTTTTAATTTATTTTTTAACTACTAAAGTCATAAGTGAATTACACAGCACCATATTAGAAAAGCAGACTTTGTATGTTTATTGTTACCAGTGAGTTTTACATTACCTTCATATGTTTTTACAATGTTAATTAGCACCTTTTGCTTCTACTCAAATAACTCCCTGTAACTTTCCTTGTAAGGCAGGTCTTAATGGTGGTGAACTCCCTCAGCGTTTATTTTGGAAAGTCTATATCTCTCCTTCATTTCTGAAGGGCAGTTTTGACAGATATAGTATTTTGGGTTGACGGTTTTTTCCTTTCAGTATTTTAAATATGCCATCCCCTTCTCTCCTGGCCTAAAAAGTTTCTATTGAGAATTCCACAGATAGTCTTATGGGGGTTTTCTTGTATGTAACTTCTCCCTTCTCTCTTGCTGCTTTCAAAATTCTTTGTCTTGATTTTTGACAATTTAATATGTCTCAACATAGCCCTGTTTGGGGTCCTGTGGGCTTCGTGGATCTGGATGTCCATTTTTCTTCCTACATTTGGGACTTACTGCTTTAAGTCTCTTATTGCTTTATACTTCCTTTTTATACTTTATACTTTCATCTCATTGCTTTAAGTCTCTTATTGCTTTATACTTTCTGTGCCTTTCTCTTTCTCTTCTCCTTTTGAGATTCCCATAATGCAGATACTGTATCATTTGATGATGATCCGTAAGTCCCATAGGCTTTCTTCACTCTTTTTCATTCTTTTTTTCTGTTTCTGTGACTGGATAATTTCAAATGTCCTGTCCTCTAGCCCACAACTGCTTTTTCTGCATAGTTGACTTTGCTTTGGAAGCTCTCTGTTTAATTCTTTAGATCAGTAATTTTTTCTCAGCTCTCATTTGTTTGATTTTTTTTTCTTTTAGTTTCTCTTTATTAAATTTCTTGTTTTGTTCATACATTGTTTTTCTGATTTTGTTTAGTTGGCTGTGTGTTCTTATAGTTTACTAAACACCTTTGAGAGGATTATTCTGAATTAGTTCATAGATCTCCATTTCTGTAGGGTTAGTTATTGGAGCTTTATTGTGTTTCCTTTAGTAGAGTCATGTTTACCTTATTTTTCACGATCCTGATTCCTTATGATGGTACCTGCACGTTTGAGTAAGTGGTCTCTTCCACATTTGACAGGTTCTCTTTGGTAGAGACATTTCTTTACCAGTCAGCTCAGATTGGGTTTTTAGAGGTATCAGCTGGTAACGTACTTGGGCCGGTGGGGCTTATATCAGGGTTTATTTTTGGGAAAGGTCACTGCCCAAGCTGTGAGGTTAGGGGAGAGGGGGAAGTGCTACTGTCTGAGAACGGTTAGAGAAGACTGCTGGCTTGGTTCCCTGCCCAAGTGAGACTATAGGGTAGGTGCCACGATTTCCTGGATAGTTGGGACTGAGTACCATACTCAGCAATAGGCAGTGCTGTAAATTAGCTTCCCTGCCCTCATGGTGCAACAGAACAGCCCCATACCAATGGTGTGAGTATGTGCTGAATTCCCTGAACAGAAGGAGCCACCACTGGTTTTGCTCTACATACAAGGAAGGCCATGAGCTGTGCTCTCCAAGTGTCACTGTAAGTAGGGCTGTAGGATGGGCTACACAGCATCGCATATGCTCGGGTTAGGTTTCCTGGTCAGGCAGGCTGAAGGCTGTAAAAAGCAGAGGGCAAAACTGCAATTTAGTTTCCATACCTGGGAGGGGGCCCTTGTATACGCTTCAAGATTAGAAAGGCTCTTGTTTGGGGTTCAAATTAAGCAGAACTATGCTCCAAATTCCCTGGCCTAACAGGCCACCATCCCAGCCCTGCAGATGATAGGGCCACCAGCCAGATTCTCCACTCCAGTGCCACTCTAATCAGAGTTGTCAGGTGGGTTACACATGTTCCCAGGTACTCTGGTTAGGTTTTCTGGTCAGGTGGGCCTGGAGACTGTATTCAGCTTTGGACAGCACCATAAATTATCTTCCCTGTCCCACTGGAGCTTCAGAACAAGCCTCATGACCAGCAGGGCTTTTTGGGAATCAAATCAGAGAGAATTGCATGCTTAACTCCCCAGATAACAGGGCTACTGTCTTGGGTCTGCAGAAGCAGAGCCACTGAGCAGGTTCTCCACTCAATTGCTGCTGTACCTGGGGCTAGAGGGTGGGCTATTGAGATTCCCATGAGCTCTGGTAAGGTTTCCTGATTAGCAGGGTTGGAGGCTATATTCAGCAGTGGGCAGGGCTATGGATTCGATTCCCTACCAGAATGGAGGAAATGAGACAGAACAGACCCCAAAACGGGCAAGATTCTTTTCGGGAAGCTAATCAGGCAAACCTGTGCGCCAGACTTCAGCCAGATGGGGTTGCTGACTTGGCTCTGCAGATGATCAAAGCCCCAGCCGAGCTCTTTTCACCTCTTATATGAGTCTTCTTTGAGTATCTTTGGAATAGGAAAGAAGTAGATATGGCAAGCAACTCTGGGCTAAGAACTTAGGAATCTGATATGTAAGTCCTAGGATAAGAAAAATTAATGAAATATTTCTAGCAGAAACTGCATTTTCCTTTTCATTCCTAATACATGGTGCTTTTCTTAGAAGCTTAGTGTGCATTATACTAGATAAACATTTACATCTTTACATTACATATCAGTTTCATTTACACTTTCTAGTTATTTTTTCATGTTTGGAAGGTTTTATTTTTAGAAAAATTTATAAAAACAGGTGTTCCAAAATGGAGTTTCTTTGCCTTAAAAACCTTTAGCAATGTTCCTTTATAAACATTTGACTGTTTTGCTGTAATGTATTATCTTATCACTTTCAAGCTTAAACAATTCTGTTTCTGAATATTTCATATTGTAACCAATCTGAAGTTCATATTTATACATACTGAAGCAGTCTGTGGATAACATTTAAGCACCAAACTTGAGTTCATAGAAAAGAAATAATCCTTTTTGGTTCACCTTTTATGTGGCAATTTTTTTTTTATTTTAGATTCTCAGAGTTGCATTAAAATGTGTGTATATGCTCTCAATGAATTAATAGTAGCATAAAGATCAGCATATTTAATAGAACTAAATATGGAATCCATCCTTTTTTAATTCTGATGGATTTAGTTACTAAAACATTAAAAGGATAACATTTTAATGCTCAATAAAATGACCTCTCTAGAGACTTTGTCATGCAGTAATGTAAATGCTTCTAAAAATGACACTAAAACAAATGATTCAGAACATGAAAGCTATGTGTTTTTCTCACATTTCATCAACTTAAATACGTTGCTTGTTTACTTACTAGTTACATAATGCCATGAAAGAAAGCTCACCTTTATTTGATGATGGACAGCCTTGGGGAGAAGAAACTGAAGATGGAATTATGCATAATAAGGTACCTTACATTACCACAAACATTATAGTTATCTTGGTATTATTAACTGTGTCACTACTGAAATTAATATAGTCGGGGGCCTGGGTGGCTTAGTCAGTTTCTGCCTTTGTCTCAGGTCATGATCCCAGGGTCCTAGGGTCAAGCCCTGCCCCAGGCTCCCTGCTCAGCAGGGCCTTTGCTTCTCTCTCAGCCCCTGCCCCTGCTTGTGCTCGCTCACTCTGTCTCTCTCGCAAAAATAAATAAAAATATTTTTAAAAAGAAATTAATATACTCTTTAGCGGAGTCTTTTTGCTTCCCAAAAAACTTCTAAAATTGAATTTTTTTAACATTAATAGATTTATTCTTGGAATCACATTGTCATTTCTTAAAATTAAGTAGGCATAGAAATTTAAAATGGTAAGGTTAAGCTTCCAACTCAGGTCATGATCTCAGGGTCATGGGATCGGGTCCCTCATCTGGCTCCACACTCAGCTTGGATTCTGCTTGAGACTTTCTCCCTCACCCCTGCCCCTCCTCCCACATGTGCAGCCACATGCTTGCGTGGTCACTTGCTCTCTCTCTCTCTAAAATACATAGATCTTTTTTAATAAATAAAATGTTAGTAAGTAAAAAATGCACGGAAATTGGAATTTAAATCATAACATGTTATTGTTTTGTATATAAATGTAACACTTCTTTTCTCCTGGACCTTTTAGAATAAAGATATCAATACTGGCAACATAAGTCTTTGAGTCTTAAATATTACATATTTAATACATGTTTTGTTTTGGCCTTTTATTTAGGCATATTACCACTTAGATCCGAGTTACCACTTCCAAAAGGGATTGAGATAAAAGTAAACATGGTCTAAGTTGGTTCCCAAGCCATACTTTATTGGAGCCTAAACTATGTAACTGACCCCACCCTGTTTCCTAAAATAAGCAAATTTATGTGTCTAAATAGAGCAAACACCAACTCCAAGGAATAGATTTATAATATTGAGATTAAACATTAATGTGCCCTAGCACATGTAAAAGATCAATCACCATGCATGTCCCTAAAAAGAAAAACTATTTTCTCTGCTAATTCTAATCTACTCTTTGGAGCATTTGACATTAAAAAAAAAAGTGGCAAGGAACTTTAGTCTCATTTTTTATTACTACTTTTCATTACTTTTTTTTTTTTTTTTTTTTTAAACAGAGTAACCATACCTTTTACTATTTCAGCAATGTCCCCTGCTGGAGAAGCAGTTAGCCTTTGATCCTACTCTTGAGAGAATTCTCCTCCCGTGTTGCAATATGTGCACTGGACTAAATTTATCTGTACCTCATTTTGCAGCCAAATACAACACTTGTTAAATATTAAATTTTTTGACGTTTATCCTAAAGGTTAAACCAGTAAAAGTTATTCTTGCTATTTTAGCTATTATTTCAAATGACAATATACAGAGCAGCACTTTGGAAATTATAAAGTGCTGCTCTGTATAAAATATTGTAAAAAAATATTTTAAATTAAAGAAGGTTATCAAAGTACCCAAATTCACCAAATTCTGAGCCTCACCTTTGTGGATCCAGAAACTCAGTTTGTTAGTAGCAGAGCATTTGACTGCAGAAATTTAATTTGTTTTTTAATCTGGAAAATCAAAATTGACGAAGCTTAAACTGATTCACTGTCACCAAATTCACAAGAGATTGATCTGAAATAGAATGAAAATGTATTATTTTATCATCAGTGGTATACCTTTTCAGTTACAGGAATACTCATACTGACCATTCAGGGTAACCTTTCCATATCAACCAAGTAATACAAAGGTTGGTTAGTTGGCGGAGAATCAGCACAAAGGGAATTGGTTTGTCTTGAGGGATATTTATTTATCAGCCATCCTCATCTCCTGACAAAGCACGCTTCTTCAGTGACCGAAACACCTCATAACTGCAGAATATAGTGTTACTTTCTCTTGGATAAATATTAACAATGCTAATATTCTGCTATTTAGATCTCTGCTAACCATGCCATTTTTTTAGACTGAAGTTACAGTGTAACTATAGCCTTTATTCTGATTTTCACAGCGAGACTTAGTTTAATTGGACTTAGGTCATCATCAGTTCATTTAAGTTTTTCATAAGGTTGATTGCATAAAGATGAATGTGCATTTTATGTTGAATTATATTTATTAATAAGCTTCCTTGTTTGACCTCAAAATTCTGAAGGTATGGTTTCCTTACTGTTTACTAATTATAACCTTTATCCAAATTTAAGTGTTCTTTATTATCCTCATTCACATTAGAAGTAGCAGACTAAGTCTGTGCAGCATAATTAATGATATATCCTAGGTTTGTGTCTCATTTATAGGAGTTCTTATAACTACTTAGTATTTCTGACTTTTCTTTTTTTAATTCAAATTTAAATTTTCACTTAGAAAAATGAAACAAACTAAATAGAGAATAATAGCTTTTTTTTTTTTTAAATGTGCTTAACCCAATCAGTTGTTTTTGGACTACACCATAAAATGCTATGAAAGTTTCATGACTGGTGCTGACAGTTTTGAAGAGATGAATGCAGAGTTGCAGTCAAAGCTGAGTAAGTGTTCTCATTCCTAGTGTGCTTGCTTAGTCATGTATCAAACTCTGTTCATGGAGTTGTAGCTCATTTTACCACACCCAGTGTTTATATGAGCTACTCTAAATGTGTTTGGATGCCTACTAATTTTTGTCTTCATTGTTTTCTTTGGTGAAGAGAAGTGATAGTTAAGCAGAAAGAATACCAATTTTGGAGTCAGACCTGAGGCAAAACCTCTTCCTGGCTACGTGACCTTAACAAATTACTTAACCTGTCTAACAAAGTTTTGCAAGATTAGGTGGCCATGTACATAAAGTATCAAACACACTACCAGGATCACAGAAGATAATCAGCAAATGTTATTCCTATGATATTCTTGTTTTACTGTTTGAGAAATTGAAGTACCAATTAATCAAAACACTTAAGGTCCTTTCAAAATGTGTGGTAGGCATTTAGTTAATGGACCATTATATTTCCAAAGAAAGAAATTGTTTATGGTTCCACTCTATTATAACCTAGGGACATTCAGTATTTACTAGCTAACTCTAAAATGTTCCAGAGGAATTAATTCAATTGTTTTTTTCTTTTACTGAAATAGTCTTATATGTAAAATGGTAGAATGGTGGGTAAAACAGATAAATTTAAGATGTGTAAAACCATTTCTCCAATAAAATCAATCAAAACATGAGAATATCACCTTGCCAGTATTGCCACAAAAGGTAAAAACATTTCTCCTATGTTCCCATTGGACATATCTTCCTGAAATAATAGGACAATTTCAGCTTGTCGACATAAGAAAAGGAGCAAGGTAAATGATGTTTCATTTTGAAAGAGGAAAATTCATAGTGATCTAATATAAAAAGCATTTAGTGAATTCATTTACTCACACAATACTTATTGTATACCTACAGTGGGCAAGCCACTATTTAGGCACTGAGGATACAGTAATGAATAAGAAATAGAAAATCCCTGCCCTGTGAGGTTACCTCTACTACAAATAATAATCAAGTAAACCACTATAAATCAAAGGTTGATAAGTGCTATGAAGAAAAATAAAGCAAGTAAGAGGGTAGAAAGTGTAGTGAAGGGAAAGGTTTGCTATTCTAGAGGGTAGGCTATCCTTAACTGGTAGCATTTTGAACAGAGACCAAGAAGGAAGTAAGGGAAAGAGCAATGGTGAAGAACTGGGGAAAAATGTTTCTAGGCAGAATTGAGATCTTACTAAGTTTTGGGGTTTTCTCTCCAGAGGATTTATTTAATGTTGATGCTTCCAAGCTGGAATCATTAGCAGCAAAAAACAAAGCATTGAATGAACAGATTGCAAGACTGGAACAAGAAAGAGAAAAAGAACCGGTTAGTAAACATGTTTATTTCATCAATAGGCTTATATACTTAGCTCTTTTGGACTCTTGGATCTCCTTAGAGAATACCAGCTGTTTCTTTATTAAAAAATAAATAAATAAATAAAATAACAAAATAAGCTTCTTAAAAATTAATTTTTTTACATAGGACAGAACTCCCCATGAAAACATGTTTGGTATCTCTAGAGCTTTGTTTTCCCTTGTGATCTATCAGTCTTGAACTAATGGTGTTCAGAATATGATGAAAGAGTCTTACCTATTTACATAAGACCAAAAAGATCTTTTGAACAGGATCCCCATGTTATATGCCTCTAGGGAGCACAATTTACAAGAAGCCCTGAGTTATGTAATTAGTGAAAAGGGAATGGTGATAAGTGGGTTTATGTAATATACTGTATTCTAAGGGCTTTCTAAAAGCTAAATGATAATATCCAGATACCTAATTTTATTTTGGGTATTATAATACTGAAGTGCCCAGACTGTTCTGTAAAATATCAAATTTTAAATGTTTGTGCTTTTTAATTCTGGCCCTTGACTTTTTGTATCCCAAACTGACTTCCTGAAAAGTAGGTACATCTTCTTAATTAGGTAATAACAGCAAAGTTCCCTTTTAGTTCTTTGGCTTCCTCTTAAAGGGATAGGAAACGCTAATACACCTTTTTCTAAGATGAATTTAAATAATATTGTGTTATTTTCAAGTAAAGGAATGGTTATCAATTAGAATAATATGGTTTCTTTTCTTTTAAAGAATCGTCTAGAGTCATTGAGAAAATTGAAAACTTCCTTACAAGCAGATGTTCAAAAATATCAGGCATACATGAGCAATTTGGAGTCTCATTCAGCCATTCTTGACCAGAAATTGAATGGGCTTGATGAAGAAATTTCTAGAGTAGGTAAGCACAACCAATGCTAAAAGAGGACATTCATACTGGAATGGGGACCTGCCTGGGTTTTAATCACATACAGAGACAGCTTTGTCATCCATATTGTTTTTCCTTTAATGGTGAATGGCTATAGCAGGCCACCAAGTTTTCAATGCCTTCTACATGTATTAGTTTTCTGAGGCTGCTATAAAAAAAAAATACCACAAATTTGGTAGGTTAGAACAAAAGAAATTTGTTCTAAAGGCCAGAAGTCCAAAATTTATTATGGCCAAGCTTCCTCCAAGGACTCTAGGGGAGAATTCATTCCTTGTCTCTTCCAGCTTCTCTTATCTGATGGTATTCCTGAGCTTTTGGCCATGTCACTCCAATTTCTACCTTCATCTTCACATTGCCTTGTCTCTGTATGTGTGTCTCCTCTCCTGTTTGTGTCCATTTCTCATAGCCTCTGTCTTTTAAGGACATTTATGATGGCATTTAGGACCCACTGGATAATCCAGGGCAATCTCATCTCAAAATATTTAATGTAATCATATCTGCAAAAACCCCTTTTCTAAATAAGGAAATGTTTACAAATTCCAGGGATTAGGATTTCATGTGTTTGGGTGACCATTATTCAACCTCTACTACACCTTCTAACATGTTTTCAGGTGTCTGATTTTTTAAAACTAAGAGGGACCTAACCTAAAAACATATGCTGCCTAATATAAATATATATTCTATTCCACCTTATAATTAATAAGCCAGATTCTTAAATCTCTGCTGGCTTCAGTCTGCTACAATTGTCTTATTCTCCCTCACTACCTTCTAAGCCACTTGGTAGCTTAAGCTGTTTGAAAAGTAAGATGGAGGGGCGCCTGGGTGACTCAGTCATTAAGCGTCTGCCTTCAGCTCAGGTCATGGTCCCAGGGTCCTGGGATCAAGCCCCACATCGGGCTCCCTGCTCAGCGGGAAGCCTGCTTCTCCCTCTCCCTCTCCCCTTGCTGTGTTCCCTCTCTCGCTATCTCTCTCTCTGTCAAATAAATAAATAAAATCTTTAAAAAAAAAGTAAGATGGAAATACTACAATTCTTTGGAAGCAAAAGCCCAATTAAAGAAAACATATTTATATCCTGTGTGTTCTAACTTTGTTTTTCATAAGCACATATCATAATCATAAAATTGAAAATACTGTAACACATGGATTGATGTTTCTCTACTGCCAGAAGGAAAGCAAAGTATTCATACATCACAGAGCCATTGGATGGCAAAATGAATAACTCTATGGACCTACTGTACTATTTTTCTAGGTGTTTGTCTGCTTCAGTTTTATTCTTGTAGGATTTTACAGGCTATGTTTGTCCCACATAGAATTTGTGTAGATAGTCCCTAGGATATTTGATTTAATGCTTAGTATTAGTAATATTAACCATCTGTCAAGTCAAAGATAATTACATGGTGTATTTGGTTAAATCAGGTTATTTTTTCCAAATAACTCTGATTACATATACTAGATTTTCTCTAAACCAAGCCTTTAAATAATTTACACTTGGCCCCTAATGTTTGTTCTCCATGATGACAAGAAACCATAGACTAATATTTTATTATAGCAATATTTGTAATGCAATTAATACTTTATAATATTCTGTCTTCCTCATTGGTATTTATCAAGAGAATTTTCGTACTTCCTACTTTTCTTGTGAGATTTTTTTTCCCAGTAATTGCAAGCTAAAGAGGTGAGAGAGATTTTAGCCATCATTTGCCATTCCAGATTGATTTAGTTTGTGATAATAATTTGATAACTTAGCCTAAGATGTTTTTGTTCTGAATATTTTAACTTTCATGATTATTTAAAGTCACTCATGGCCAAGAATCAAAGAGACCTATTTTTTTTTTAAGATTTTATTTATTTATTCATGAGAGACAGAGAGAGAGAGAGAGGCAGAGGGAGAAGCAGGCTCCCAAGGAGCAGGGAGCCCGATGCGGGACCCGATCCCAAGACCTGAGCTGAAGGCAGACGCTTAACCATCTGAGCCACCCAGGTGCCCCAAAGAGACCTATTAAAACTGTGTGGAGACAGACAGGAAAGGAAGGAAGGAAGAAAGAGAATAATGTACATTGTGGATTTTTTGTGCAGATTCCTGTGATAAATGTTTTACTTCAGCTGTTTTTATTTTGAGCTCAAGTGTGGAACTTCCCAAGTACAGTGCTACAAATGAGTTATAACAAAGCCAAGATCTTGATCCTGTCAGCCCATGGAATGATTGTCTTGGCCCCTTTGGTCATGCATATTCTCATCCATCTACCCCAGCCTGCTTAAAAGTACTATCCTATTCTTTATAAGCTACGAATAACAACAGGTTGGAAAATACCATCCTGTATAACCCCAAATATTTTAAGTTTGATAACTTTTCTTGCCCTTTGTATAATCATTTGCTGTTTGTAAGTACCATTTTGTCTTAGTAAAATAATATAGTCCTTCTTGCTTACAAATTGTGGTAAATAGAGGGGTGCCTGGGTGGTACAGCCAGTTAAGCGTATGACTCTTGGTTTCAGCTCAGGTCATAATTCTGGGGTCCTGGGATCAAGATCGAGCCCCACATCAGGCTCTGCACTCAGTGTGGAATCTGCTTAAGATTCTCTCTCTTCCTCTGCCCCTCCACCTATACTCACATGTGCTCGCGCACTCTCTCTCTCTCTCAAATAAATAAATCTTTAAAAAAAAAAAAACAAATTTTGGTAAATAGAGCAAGAACTTAACGACTGTAGTGATTTAATATTTGATCAAACTACTGAAAATGTCAGTGAAATAATAAAGTGATGTATTTGAACATAAATATTTTTATATTTGTGAAAAACTTGTGGGTTTTCTGACTTATTGCAGAGAATCATGCTGGAGTATTAAAAGCATTTGAACTGATCATTGGCAGACTATCCCTCTTACATGTAATAATTCTTAATCCTAATCATTATATGTGAAGCCATATTTTTTTCATGTAGCACTTTCTGAAAATCATAAAAGCCAATAGGGAAGTAAGTTTCTAACATAAAACTTTAATTGTATCATCTTTCAGGAATGTTATTACCAAAGTGGGATCAAATAGAATCACCCCAAAAAAGTGAAGAGAAAAATATACATGTAAATAACTTGGAAATTTAGACCTATTAATCAAGTCTCTTAAATAATGGCATCAGAGCACCTGACTGGCTCAGTTGGTAGAGTGTACGACTCTTGAGCTTGGGACTGTGAGTTTGAGCTCTACACTGGGTGTAGAGACTGAGTTAAAAAAATTAAAATCTGGTTCAACCATGTTTTAAATAAATAATAGCCTCAATTTCTTTGTAGGAATTGAAAGAATTTAACAAATTTGTTTTCTTTAATGCAGAACTAGAATATGAAACAATGAAACAGGAGAATACTCGCCTACAGAATATTGTCGATAACCAGAAGTACTCAGTTGCAGACATCGAGAGAATAAATCATGAAAGAAATGAACTGCAGCAGACCATTAATAAACTAACCAAGGACCTGGAGGCTGAACAACAGCAGTTGTGGAATGAAGAGCTAAAATATGCCAGAGGCAAAGAGGCGGTATGTCATACCATTTCCAGAGTGGCAACTTAGAGCTGACATTTGTAAAGGTCTATCCCTGTTAAGAAAAACTGAATGGGTAGAATAAATTGGCTAAAGAGTTAAAACTTTTTAACATTGACATTTTACTAAACACACTCATCCCTTTTTGTCAATTCAGTAACACCCCAATTTCTCTCAGTCAGATTTAAGGTAGCTTGTACTTTTTAGCAATGAACCAAGAAATAAGCAAAAATGTCTCTAAGTACGTGAAAATAATGTTCATAAATCACATGCCTTTTATTCTAGAAGAGGATATGAGTCGAGTCTTCATTTACCTAGTCACTATTCAAACATTTGTTTAAGATCCGCTGTGTGCCACTTCCCATACTGAGCTTAGAAGAATAAAGATAAAAAGATAGACTCTCCCCTCAAGAAACTTCCAATCTAGTTGATATGAGACCATGAGATCAGACCTCTAAGAGATGTTTGCACAGGGTATTTCGGAAGCACATAGTATTCCTAACCCATATGTAGTGTCTGTGGTGTGGGAAGATGTACAAGGTGATTTTTAGAAAGGTTTCCTTGAAAGATAATACCTGAACTGAATTGGGAAGTGTAAGTAAGAGTTATCTTGGCAAGGGTAGGGGAGTCAGCAAACAAGTATATGGGAAAGCTCAAAGAGAAAATTGCGTGTTATACTCTGGCATCAGAATCTTTTCATATGGCTAGGAGCTTAATAGCAAGGGATAGGGGCACAGCAAAAGAGAAGACTCAAGAGAAAAAGCACAGACCAGACAATAAAGATTCTTTTCATATTTAAAAGTTTGGGCTTTATTCTGAAAGCTCCAAGAAACCCTTAAGATTTTTAAACAGATATTACATTTCAGAAAGATCACATTTTTGGACATGTGAAAAATGGATTGGAGGGGAGCAAAACAGATAAGGATCTGTGGCAGTAATGTGGTGAGAAGTTATGAGCTGAGTTTAGATAATGCTAGTGGAGATTCAAAGAAGTGGGTGCCCTCTGACTACTTAGGAAATAGAGGGAATAAGACTTGATGAAAGAAAAAGGGTGCATTCACAGAGTCTGGTTTGGGCAATGGGGCAAGCAATAGTACCGCTCACTCCAAAATAGAAGAGAAGTGGCCAGTCAGGAATAGAGATGGTATGCTGAACCTGTTATGTCCATGGGGCATTCTAATAGGCTATTGTTATGTGAGTCTGAACCTCAGCATAAAATATGAGGGTTTGCATTGTAGACTAAGTAAAAATCAGAATGTACTGTGATTGAAACCACCAGAGTAGATGAATTCACCAAGGAAAAATGCATAAGAGGAAAGGAGCACCAGCATCTTAAAGTGGACAAAGGTCCCTTAAGAGAGGCCTAAAAGAAACTGAGGACTAGCCAGAGAGGTCAAGAGGACAGAAGCTGAAAAAGGAAGTCAGGAAGGGGTGAGCAGTATCAAATGCAGTGACGGGATTTAAAAGTTACTGCCAGATTTGGTAACAGCAGTCACTAGTGACCTTCACCAGAATCGAAGTATTTGACTTCATTTCAGTTTTATAGGTAGCACATTATCCTCGTAGATAAGACTGAGAAAGTGGGCATATTGGCCATATGAATTTCTAGATAAAGCTTATCCTTACTTTTGGTGGCAGTCCCTTACGAATGTTCTCTCCTTCTGCCTGGCTGGCTGTGCACTCTTTACTCTGACCTTTTAACGTAGCTCGCAGCAGACAAGAACTTTTTCTTAGTGATTTAGCATAATCATGAACGTGACACCAGTGTATTCTAAAACAACAAGAAGTTAACAGGTTGTCTAGGGACCAAATATTTTTCTATCAAATCGTTCCAAAGTGATTTTTTTCTGCTATATACACTATTGCATTCCTAAGAAAAGTTATGTGAGTTAAGACTCTTCTAAGAAAAGGTAATAAAACGTGTCTTTCAAAGGGCCCTCTCTCTCTCTCTCTTTTTTTAATGGAAAAAATGGAGTTTCAAAATTAAATTTTAAAGTTTTCTACCCTATTTTGAAAATACCCTAGTATTTTCAGTTACAATGTTTGTTTATTGGTAGGTATAGTACTAAAATTTGTACCTCACTGAGAAAAATTTAGACTCTCTTTTGCTCCAGAGATAATGGCGTTTTTTATCCTATTACTTTCAGCACTTTCCTTAATACATTATTTCTCATAAATAGTTATCACTATTGTTAAAATAAAAAAGTAGATCAAACAAAGCAGCTCTTTTTGCCCAAAGGGACAATATTGGTTTTTCATCCTGGTCACCTTATAAAGTGCATTATAGGCATGATACAAATGATTTCTTAGTCAGGTTTTTACTATTTTGTATTTTTAAAAATCTGTATTTTGCACACCTACATATATAATTTTTCATGTGGCAAGAACAATTCAGCATGAGCAGCAAACATTGGCTCCTTTTTTTAATCCCTGTCTCACCATACTTTTGCTTTGCCTTGACTATCTTTACTCCCTCATTCTAAGCTTCTAGGTAATCTCTGTCCCTGTGTATTAAGGAGAAAGATAGACATTTATAAGAAGTAGACTGTAGGGGCACCTGGGTGGCTTAGTCATTAAGCATCTGCCTTCGGCTCAGGTCATGATCCCAGGGTCCTGGGATTGAGCCCCACATTGGGCTCCCTGCTCAGCGGGAAGCCTGCTTCTCCCTCTCCCACTCCGCCTGTTTGTGTTCCCTCTCTCACTGTGTCTCTCTCTCTGTCAGATACATAAAACCTTTAAAAAAAAAAAAAAGAAGAAGAAGAAGAAGTACACTGTAGTGGTGATCCCAAAAGTCTTTGAATTTAGAATTTGGTAAACCTGTATTTTATTTTTTTTTAATTTTTTATTGTTATGTTAATCACCATACATCATTAGTTTTTGATGTAGTGTTCCATGATTCATTGTTTGTGCATAACACCCAGTGCTCCATGCAGAACATGCCCTCTTTAATACCCATCACCAGGCTAACCCATCCCCCCAACCCCCTCCCCTCTAGAAACCTCTGTTTTTCAGAGTCCATCGTCTCTCATGGTTCGTGTCCCCCTCCGACTTACTCGCCTTCATTCTTCCCCTCCTGCTATCTTCTTTTTTTTTCTTAACATATATTGCATTATTTGTTTCAGAAGTAATGATCTGTGATTCAACAGTCTTACACAATTCACAGCGCTCACCGTAGCACATGCCCTCCTCAATGTCTGTCACCCAACCACCCTGTCCCACCCACCCCCCACCACTCCAGCAACCCTCAGTTTGTTTCCCAAGGTTAAAAATTCCTCATATCAGCGAGGGCATATGATACATGTCTTTCTCTGATTGACTTATTTCACTCAGCATAACACCCTCCAGTTCCATCCACGTTGTTGCAAATGGCAAGATCTCATTCCTTTTGATGGCTGCATAATATTCCATTGTGTATATCTACCACATCTTCTTTATCCATTCATCTGTCGATGGGCATCTTGGCTCTTTCCACAGTTTGGCTATTGTGGACATTGCTGCTATAAACATCGGGGTGCACATACCCCTTCGGATCCCTACATTTGTATCTTTGGGGTAAATACCCAGTAGTGCAATTGCTGGATCGTATGGTAGCTCTATTTTCAACTTTTTGAGGAACCTCCATACTGTTTTCCAGAGTGGTTGCACCAGCTTGCATTCCCACCAACAGTGTAGGAGGGTTCCCCTTTCTCCACATCCCCGCCAACATCTGTCGTTTCCTGACTTGTTAATTCTAGCCATTCTGACTGGTGTGAGGTGGTATCTCATTGAGGTTTTGATTTGGATCTCCCTGATGCCGAGCGATGTTGAGCACTTTTTCATGTGTCTGTTGGCCATTTGGATGTCTTCTTTGGAAAAATGTCTGTTCATGTCTTCTGCCCATTTCTTGATTGGATTATTTGTTCTTTGGGTGTTGAGTTTGATAAGTTCTTTATAGATTGTGGATACTAGCTCTTTATCTGATATGTCATTTGCAAATATTTTCTCCCATTCTGTCGGTTGTCTTTTGGTTTTGTGGACTGTTTCTTTTGATGTGCAAAAGCTTTTTATCTTGATGAAATCCCAAGAGTTCATTTTTGCCCTTGCTTCCCTTGCCTTTGGCGATGTTTCTAGGAAGAAGTTGCTGCGGCTGAGGTCGAAGAGGTTGCTACCTGTGTTCTCTTTTAGGATTTTGATGGACTGTCTCACGTTTAGGTCTTTCAACCATTTGGAGTCTATTTTTGTGTGTGGTGTAAGGAAATGGTCCAGTTTCATTCTTCTGCATGTGGCTGTCCAATTTTCTCAACACCATTTGTTGAAGAGACTGTCTTTTTTCCACTGGACATTCTTTCCTGCTTTGTCAAAGATAAGTTGACCATAGAGTTGAGGGTCCATTTCTGGGCTCTCGATTCTGTTCCACTGATCTATGTGTCTGTTTTTGTGCCTATACCATACTGTCTTGATGATGATAGCTTTGTAATAGACCTGGAAGTCTGGAATTGTGATGCCGTCAGCTTTACTTTTCTTTTTCAATATTCCTCTGGCTATTCGGGGTCTCTTCTAGTTCCATACAAATTTTAGGATTATTTGTTCCATTTCTTTGAAAAAAGTGGGTGGTATTTTGATGGGGATTGCATTGAATGTGTAGATTGCTCTAGGTGGCATTCACATCTTCACAATGTT